AGTAGTAGTAGTAGTAATAGTAGTAGTAGTAGTAGCAGTAGTAGTAGTAGTAGCAGCAGTAGTAGTAGAAGCAGCAGTGGTAGTAGTTGCAGTAGTAGTAGTAGTAGTAGTGGTGGTGGTGGTGGTGGTAGTAGTAGTAGTAGTAGTAGTAGTAGTAGTAATAGTAGTAGTAGTAGTAGTAGTAGTAGTAGTAATAGTAGTAGTAGTAGTAGTAGTAGTAGTAGTAGTAGTAGTAGTAATACAAGTAGTAGTAATAATAGTACATGATAATTAATAACAATATTAATGCTGATAATATTAATGGTAATAATAAATGAAAATAGTAGTAGTAATAATAATAATAATACTGACGCAAGCCTGCCTCTTTGCGCCCTTCCGCCCTCTGCACCCCCGTGCCCACAACGCCCTTTTGTCGCCCGCGGCGTCCCCTCTGGCCGCCCTCCTGCTCCCCCCTCCCCCTCCCCCCCCCATCGCTCGGACGTCCATTCCGTGTGTTGTGTTCGGTTTCGTGCGTGGTTTTTTCGCCAAATGGTCGAGGATGCTCCTCGATGGTCCTCGCCGAAGGAAAAATGCACACGTCCGAGCGATGCCGAGTCCCCTCCCCAACTCATGAGAGCCTCCCGTGCCATCTTGTCGGCTCTCGCGAATCGACGCTGATCGACGCCAGTCGACGCTAAATCGACGCGAATCGACGCGAGCCGACGCCAAGTCGGCGCTCTCTCATCGACGCCCAGACGCTAACCGACGCGAACGACGAAAAATCAAGAGGGTAGACCAGACTCCCATGATTTGCTACCGACCCCCCACCCTGCTCCTCCTGCTCCTCCTGCTCCTCCTGCTCCTCCTGCTCCTCCTGCTCCTCCTCCTCCTCCTCCTCCTCCTCCTCCTCCTCCTCCTCCTCCTCCTCCTCCTCCCCCTAGCCCCCGGTCGATCCCGTGCCCGCGCTCTGTCCCGCCGCCGTCGCCAGAGGCAGTGGCATCCTGCGGGATCCCGCGCCCTCCTGGCCTCGGCCAGGAGAGCCCCAGCACTTGGCGGCGAGCCCCGGGGGGGGGGGGCAGCAGCGAGAGACAACAGGGGACACGTCGATCCCTGTCAGAGGCGTCGGGAGGTGTAGAAGAAGAGAACGAAGAAGCAGAAGGTTTAGTTTCCGAGACGTGCCACGGCGGCGCGCGTCCAGGAATGCACCCTGGGAGGAGGAGGAGGAGGAAGAGAGAGAAAGGACGGGAGTGGGCGCAGGGAGGGGGCGGGGCTACCAGCGCGCCATGTTTGCACCTGGGCACCGCAGAGCATGTAACAAAAACAGAGCACGCGGTTCCTGCGAGCTACCTCCTCTACCACGGCGGTCTTGCCGACGCCGGGCTGGCCAAGAAGGCAGACCTGAGCGCAGGCGGGGGAATGGCAAGGAGGAGGGTCAGAGCAGCGCATTGCCCCTTGCCGCGCTGAAGCAAACTGATGTGCAGACCTGCTACCAGCTGCTGGGCCCTGGGTGATACCCACCAGCCGCGCAGCCTCGCTGCACGCCACCACATGATCCCGCTGAGCCCTGCCCCCGATTCCACCACAACCACTGCTTTCTCAATTCGATCCCACGCCTTGGCATCACATCGAAGGCCTGCCCCCTGTCGCTGCTGTCGCCGCCAGCTTCTCATCATGCCAACGGTGCGGCGGTCAGCGAGATACCTTGCTCGATCATGATGATCCTGTTTCTCAGAAAAGGCGCCTTAAGGAGTGTGCGTTCGGCTTGTTCCGCCGCGCGAGCACCCTGAGGACACGATCCACCTCGGCGGGTTGCCTTACGAAGCTCCCTAGCAACACATGATCAAGCAATCGCTATGAATGCAGCGCGGCTTCCCCCCCAAGTAAGTTCTTCAATATTCCAACGCCACGAATGGCTGCGTCTACTCCCAGAGTGGAAAGTCAAACCCCCGCCGTTGGATGCCAACGCAAGCAACTCATACAATGCCGGCTGCCACATGGAGGGGATGAAGGAAAGCCGGTCATGAGCTGGTATGGCTTTGACGAGAAGGCGCGAAACGAAACTCGTCCTCTGATGCAATCAATGCGTCGACCAAGAAACGAGCATCCACAGACACCTGGGTTGGCTTCCTGACAGCATCTGACGCACACGTTGAGGACGCCATGCGCGCAAAGCCTCGCACGTGTGCCGAGGGAGACTAGGAAACGAGGCCAGCTTCGTGCAAAGCCGTGGGAGAGGCACGAGGCCAAGACGACGAGCGGAGATTCTGAAGAGCCCGCACCGCTGCAGCCACCTTCTCCATCGCAAGCGTGACGAACTCCCCGTCTCTCTTGGCATTCGCTGCCGAGCTTTCGGTACACTTGGGCGGTTCAGAATGCTGTTAGCTGTGTGGTAGTGCCCCTTGTAGTACCACCAGCGCCCTCGGCGTAGGTGGTTTAGCGACTTCATTCCTCAAACCCGCGTCTTCCCCTTCGGACTGGGGAACAACACTGCTCCTTTTCAATCAAAAAACACCCTCTCCCAAACTCGACTGACCTCGAACCAGGGTCAATGCCGAACCCGGTCGGGCATGTCCTCCTACAGGCGGATTCTGGACGACAAATACAACATATTCCAAACATACGCCCACATAGTCAAACATACTCAAAAAAGCGCCCCCGGCTACGTCGTTTAACAATGTTTGAACATTCCTCTTGTACAGGGACGCGCCCGACTTAAACGTTGTGGAATGCCCCAGGGCTCATGCAGCCCTGCGAGGCACGGGGGTTCTCTAGGGGGCAAACAAACCTTCCTCGCGTTTGACCACCCTCGCTTCCAAGAGATACCAAGCGACGCCAAACTGCGGCATGCGCTGGTCGGGCCGCCTGACGAGGAGGCGCGTGGTGTGGCTTGGTTTTGCCCGGAAGCGAAAGCGGGGTAGGTCATTCACGCTCTGAGACAATGTTTGAACATTCCTCTTGTAGAGGGGCACGCCCGACTTAAACGTTGTGGAATGCCCCAGGGGCTCATGCAGCCTTGCGAAGCACGGGGGTTCTCTCAAGGTTCCGAAGGGCCTGGACCCCCCAGGCGCTGCCTGCCGGGCGCTCGTGGGCGCTCTTGGGGCGCTCCTTGGGGCGCTCCTCTGCGCGCTCTCTCTCGGGGCGCGCGTCGCGCGGGCGCTCTGGGACGGTGGCCCCGCCCAGCAGGGCCAGGCACGGTGGCGGGAGGGGCCGAAGGCCATTCTGTCAAGAATGATGGGGGGAGGGCGCATCATGTGAGGCCTGCGTGGGCCGCCAACAGTCCCTGCCAAAGGCAAGCTGGAAACATACAGTCGGGGCCTTGACCTAAGGAACCCAACATACGGAACGGGGCCCCTATTTACCATAACTTGAACTTCGATGTCGTATCGAAAACCTGAGGAAAATCCAGGCAAGCTGCGAAGCAATCAAGGAACACGGAGCCCCTCCCCAACGAAAAGGGTTCCTTCTTCAGGGCCCCGACTGTAATGTGTGGCCTGCGTGGGCCGCCAACAGTCCCTGCCAAGGGCAAGCTGGACACATGGACCAGATTGACCACCCCGCCGCCATGCTGCCTTGGCTGCTGGGGGGCTGGTGGGGGGTCGACATGCTTCCCGATGCGCGCTGTCACGTGTGCAGGGCGCACCTGGCACACTCTGCGCGGCCGCGCACGTGGCGCAATTGGCGCTGGCGGAGCACGCGACACACTTGCCGAACGTGGAGGATGCGGCGCATCTGGCGCATCTGGCGCACCAAGCGCGCCCGGCACGCTTGGGCCCCAGGGGAGCGCCTGGCGACCTGGTGCTAGAGTCGCACCTCCTCCCCCATGGGTTTGGACGGAGGGTTTCGCGAGGTGTTAGAGAATCCTGTCCAAGATGGCTCGAGATAGCCCGAGATGGCCTCCCAGATCGCTCAAGATAGCCCGAGACGGGTCAAGATAGCTTCCAGCATGTCTCCGAGATGCCCCAAGATCGCCCCTAGACGGCTCCAAGGGGCCACTGAAACTCCCAAGGGCGCCCCCGAGGGCCCAGCATCCGTGCAGAACCTAAGGACAGCTACGTGCGTTGCTTCTCGCCTCTTCGCGTTCGATGAGCTGCTGAGGCATCATGGAAGAAGGGCACATGGACGAGGTCATTAATCATGCGATTGATTAAAGAAGATGAAACCAAAGCCCCTATCCGCCTCGCTTATCCCCTGCTACCCCCCTTTTCGTGGTCCCTCTCCTCCATCACCCATCTTCTACTTTCCCCTCTCTCCTCCACCTCCTCCTCCTCCTCCTCCTCCTCCTCCTCCTCCTCCTCCCTCCTCCTCCTCCCTCCTCCTCCCCTCCCCCTCCCCCCCCTCCCCTCCCTCCCCTCCTCCTCCTCTCCTCCTCCTCCTCCTCCTCCTCCTCCTCCTCCTCCTCCTCCTCCTCCTCATCCTCCTCCTCCTCCTCCTCCTCCTCCTCCTCCCTCCCCCTCCCCCTCCTCCTCCTCCTCCCCCTCCCCCTCCCTCCTCCCCCTCCCTTTCCTCCTCCTCCTCCTCCTCCTCCTCCTCCTCCTCCTCCTCCTCCTCCTCCTCCTCACTGCTCCTTCCCAACCCCTCCTCCGCATCACAGAGAAGGCCGACGCCACCTCCTTGTCTCTTCCGAGCACAGGGTCCAGCTTGCCCTCAGCCGCCGCTGCCACCAGATCCCGCCCAAAGCGCTCAAGCGCTGGAGGCTCGTCGTCCTCCTCGTCCTGCCCGCCTGCAGCGAGGAGCGGCGGGGGGGATGGGGGGAGGGGGGCAGAGCGGGAACGGTGATGGAAGGGCGGTATGCAGAGGAGGGGCCATCCAGGGGGAGGGGGGGAAGGGGAAAGGGGAAGGTGAGAGGGGAGGAGGAGGTGCATCAGAGGCTGGTGACGAAAAGGACGGGTGGCAAATCCCCTGTACGACAGACGGCATCCGGGAGTCCCACCGAAAAAGCTCGACAACTGAATATCCAACACTTAGGAGCGCTAGACCGTAGTCCAAAAGCCTTTCTGCATCGTAACGAACGGGAATGTAATTTGATTGCCCTTGCAAACAGGGAACCTCGCGCTCTTCGCTCCGTTAGAAATTGGAACGGCGACGCAGCCCCCGAGAAGATTACGTGGTGGGACAAGGCCACCAGCGTCGACCACGTTAGCCTTCGGACGAGGACTTCCTATGGAAACTCTCCGGCATGTCTCACACTTCCAAAAGCAGAAGCAGCCTCCCAAGAATGGTCAGGACCTTGAACCTTGCGAGGGGCTTGCACCGGCGCCTTCTGGAGCGCGACGCCTGCAATGTCAAGACGCCGCCAGTGGGGCATCAAGTCAGGTGCGAGCGCAGCAACAGCTTAAGACACTTGACAGATCGATCGAGCCAGACTTATTCGGGCATGGACTGCGTGTCTCCTCACGGGGACGTCCAGCCACACAATCGACGATGTCGTTTCCGTTCTGATAGAACCGCCGAAAGGCGGAACTCTCGAGGGAATCATCCACGTGGAACCTTACCTAGAAGATTTCTTCCACTAACTTGCGACGAGATGGCAGAGCATAGTCAACCGACGGGCACTGATACGACAACGCTCGGATCACAGGCTGATTTCCCTGGGTCGCCCACTTCTTTACAATCGCAACAGATCAAGGCGCCGTGCTGCATGTCGGCAACGGAATGGGCCCCGAAAAAAAAAAAACGCTGGGGGGCGATTTTTGGGGGAAGGGGCCGAGGGCGGAGGATGCGGAGGGGGATTATTAGGAAGGGGAGGAGCGGGGGCGGAGCGGGAGGGGGAGAACGGGGGAACGGGGGGGTGGGTCAGGGGGGGGTAGGATCATGAGGGGAGGGGGTTGAAAAGGGGGGAGGGGGAGGGGAGGGGGGGGAGGGGGATGGGGGAGGGGGGGAAGGGGGGGAGGGGGGGGAGGGGGGGGGGGGGGGGGGGGAGGGGGTAGGGGATAATGGAGGGGCGGGGCGGAACTCTGCTTGCAGTCGCGACAAAACAGATTTGACGGAAGTACGCGGATCCATTGCTCCCCGACTCTCCTCCATCCCTACGTCTCTCCCTCCATCCGTCCCTCCCCTTCCCCTTCCTCCCTCTCCCCTCCCTGGCTCCCTCCCCTGACATCTGACAGCCTCAGAGAAAATCGAGGTCAATTCGCACGACAGGAGCTCCATTGACTTTCAGAAGCCGATCGCTCGGCGACGGGCACAGGGCCTGAGAATGATCAAGAATGCCCGCCTAGTGCTTCACCACGCCTGGATGTGAGGGTGCCTCTCCTCCTCCTCCTCCTCCTCCTCCTCCTCCTCCTCTCTCCTCCCCTCCACCCTCCTCCTCCTCCTCCGTCCTCCTCCTCCTCCTCCTCCTCCTCCTCCTCCTCCGCCTCCTCGTCCTCCTCCTCCTCCGCCCCCCTCCATCCTCCCTCCCTCCCTCCCTCCCTCCCTCCTCCTCACCGTCCTCCTCCGCCTCCCCTTCCTCCCAAGTCCTCGTCTTTCGTCCTCCTCGTCCTCCTCGTCCTACTCGTCGTCCTCCTCCTCGTGCTCCCTCCTCCTCGTCTGGCTCCTCCTCCTCGTCTCCTCCTCCCCTCCTCCTCCTCTCCTCCTCCTCCTCGTCCTCCTCCTCCTCCTCCTCCTCCTCCTTCCTCCTCCTCCTCCTCTCCTCGTCTCGTCCGCCATCCTCCTCCTCCTTCTCCTCCTCCTCCTTCTTCTCCTCCTCCTCCTCCTCCTCCTCCTCCTCCTCCTTCTTCTCCTCTCCGCCCCTCCGTCCGTCCATTCGCCCCTCCCTCCCTCCCCCGCCCTCGCCGCCCTCCTCCGCATCCACTTCCCCCCTCGCCCCCCCCCCACACCCCTTCTGGCGCCACCGGCAGTGAGCGCCCCGAAGGGGTCTGCGCGCTCGTTCCAGTCCCGCGGGCCGCCCTTGGCGTTCGTTCCGGCCCCCGCGGCGGGGCGCGGGGGCCGGTGTCCAGGCCGGCCGGGCGCCGGGGCGTCGTATCTGGCCAAGCGGGGGGGGAGCTGCAGCGGGAGGGGGGCGAGGAGGACGAGGAGCACGCGCGGGGAGGACGAGGAGGACGAGGAGGAGGCAAAGTAGGGCGAGGGGGAGGAGGAGGAGGAGGAGGAGGAGGAGGAGGAGGAGGAGGAGGAGGAGGAGGACGGAGACGAGGACGAAGACGAGGACGAGGGAGGAGCGGCGGCGGAGGCAGCGGGGGCGCAGGCAGCGGGCAGCTGCGGCAGCGGAAGGAGGGGGGGAGCAGGGGGGCAGCTCGGAGGGCGGGGGGGCGGCGGGCGGAGGGCGGCGGGAGGTGCGCGGGGGGTGGGGTCCGCGGCGGCGGCGGAGGGCGAGGGGGAGGCGAGGGCGACAAGGGGCGGGGGGGAAGTGAGGGCCAAGCTCGGCGGCGAGAGGGCGGCGAGGGGGGCGAGGGGGGGGGCGGCGGCGGCGCCGGCGCCGGCGGGCCTCTCGAATCGTGCCTGAATGCCCACTTGGTATCTGGGGCTCGTGGCCAGTCGTTCCCCGCGCGAGGGGCACCCGTACCAGAGGGGGGGGGCCAGGAAGCCTCGACGGACCAGACCGATGCCGAGGCCTCGAAGCGCCGCCGACGCAGATGCAAAAGGGGGCGGGAGGAGGAGGGTCGAAGGGAGGGGGCCAGGATGTGCAGGTGGAGGGGAGGAGGGGGAGGAGAGGGAAGGAGGAGGAGGGGGATACATGATGGAGTTCAGACGACGGAAGGGAAGGAGGGAGGGATGGAGGAGGCGGACGACGAGACCGACCAGGACGACGAGGAACGAGGAAAGAGGAACAGGAGGATAACTGAAGGGGCCCTGGGACACACAAATAAATACACACACATAAAACGATTCCCCATATGTTCTTACATTTTCTGGGCTTTTCTCTTCCCCCCACTTCCCCATATGTTCCCACATATTTTCTGGGGAATCGACGATTCATTGTGTCTGTGTGTATGTTTTTGTCCCCTCCTGCAAAAACAGAGGACGAGAGACCTGGGGGCGAGGAAGAAGCGAAGGAGAAACCCGAGAAGAGGAGGGAGGGATGCAGGAGGCGGACGACGAGACCCGACCAGGACGACGAGGAGCGAGGAAAGGGGAGCGGGAGGAACACAGAGGAGGCGAGGCATAGGGGCGAGGAAGAAGCGAAGGAGAAGCACGCGAGGAGGAGAGCGTCGTACCCCATAGATTCCGTGGTCGTGCACACGACGGGCAGGCGTGCGGCGGGCGCCGCGGCGAGGGCGCCCGCCCCGCCCCTCTCGGAGACCGGCGCAGCTTGCCGGGCGGCGCCGTGGTCCGCCGCCGCCCGCGGCGTCGGCGCCGCGGTGTGGGGGGCGCGCTCGACTTCCGAGTGCTCTCTGGGTGGGTTACTGTACTACTACGAGGGGCCTCCCTCTCGACACGCGGAAACGGGACCAGCGCTACAGCGGATTCCAGGTGCTCTCTGGGTGGGTTCCTGTACTACGGTGGAGGGAAGAACAACGACTGTCCGCCGCCCTCTGCGTCGGCGCCGCGGTGGGGGGCGCGCTCGACTTCCAAGTGCTCTCTGGGTGGGCTTGACGAACCAACAGCACACGCCCATACCCATAGGGGGATCGGAGAGGGCTATGGGTGCGTGTTGTCGGATGGGGGTCCCCGCTCGAACGGGAGCGTTCCCCAGGGTCAGACAACCCGCACCCATACCCACAGCCAGTCCTCCTCCCAAGTCCAAGTGCTCTCTGGGTGGGCTACTGTACTGCGGTAGAGGGAAGAACAATTACTGACCACCCCCCCCCTCCCCCCAAAAATTCAACGTGGGGGATCGGAGAGGGCTATGGGTGCGTGTTGTCGGATGGGGGTCCCCGCTCGAACGGGAGCGTTCCCAAGGGTGCGACAACCCGCACCCATACCCATAGCCAGTCCTCCTCCCAACGAACTCCCTATGGGTATGTGTGTGTGTTGTTCGTTCGTCAGGGTTTCTGTACTATTACAAGGGGCCTCCCTCTCGACACGCGGAAATGAGACCAGCGCTGCAGCGGGAGCATGGTTTCAAACGACCGGAAGCGCGGAAATGAGACAATTGAGCTATGACCGGTGCTCTCTGGGTGGGTTACTGTACTACGGTAAAGGGAAAAACAATGACTGAGCACTCCCCCCCTCCCCCCAAAAATTCAACGTGGGCACGCGCGGGGGAGGCTGCGGTCGAAGTGCAGCTCATCAGACTCAGCGCCAACTTTGAACATTTGGGGGGAGGGGGAGGCGTTGACCGTTGAATGTGGCATGTGTTCGCTAATTTGTTCCGAGGCCTGTATTACAAGGGGCCTCCCTATCGACACGCGGAAAGGAGACCAGCGCTGCAGCGGGAGCATGGTTTAGAACGACCAGGGAGCGCGGAAATGAGACAATTAAGAGATCAAAAGAACACGTTCGGATTGGAATACCGCATAGGACACCAAAAAAAACACAACTCCGACCGATCCTGTGTGTACGAATCGTACGCAGGGGGCGGGATATCTTCCGCACGTAGTCATGAGAGGGATGGGAATAGTATTCATGTTGTGAAGATGTAGAGGGGAAAGGAAATGGAGGGAGAGAGTGCCCGATTGGGAGGAGCTCTTGCCTCAGACCACTGCGTTCGAGGCTCGCCATGGCTGCACGAGTGGCAGGAGGGAGAAAAGCGAAAGTGACAGAGAGAGAGAGAGAGAGGAAGAAAAAAAAAGGCAGAGAGAGAGAGAGAGTGGGAGAGGGAGACGGAGCTATTGAGGCAGAACAAGAGAAGGAGGGACAGAGAGACAGAGAGAGAGAGAGAGAGAGAAACATCAAAAGGAGAGAGAGAGAGAGAGAGAACAAACAACGTGTCTGTGAGAGAAAGAGAAAGAGAGAGAGAGAGAGAGAGAAATAGAGAGAGATA